CCTCCTGGGAGCAGTTGAAGGCACCGCGGATGCAGATGCTGGGGACAGAGGTGGGGGGGGATCAGTGCCCTCCCAGCCCACCAGCTCGGCCACCCGCATGGGGTGACCCAGCCTGAGGCGATGCCGGGGACCGCGGCACCCACCAGCTGTTGCAGCGGAGCTGGATGCGGCTGCCCGGCGCGTGCTCCTGCTGCTGCGAGAGGTTGTGGGCCCCTGGCAAGGTGGGGGGCAGCCGGCAGCGGCACAGCTCGGGGGGGACACAGGCGCCATCCTGCAGCACCTGGGGGGCACCCAGTGGTGATCAGGGTGCCCCTCCATCCCCGCTTGCCTGACCCCAACCAGTCAGGTCCCTGGGGTGGCAGCGGGGTCCCTGGGGGCTGCAGGGAGGGCTCGGGGGGCACAGTTGTACCTGGCCGGGCGGGCAGGCGCAGCCGGGCTGGCAGCTCTCCGGCAGGCACCGCGTCCCCGGGCGGAGGTGGGCGCAGGTGCGGGGGCAGGCGTTGGCACAGTCCCCGTACACTTGCCCGCCAGGGCACTCTGCGGGGTGAGGAGGGGGCAGCTGCGGCACTGAGCCCCCCGGCCCCGGTCAAGCACCCGCTGCCATCCCGTGGCTCAGCGGGCAAAGCAGCAGCTCCCTGGCACCCCAAAGGCCACCCCCCCACCCCCCCCAGCCTGGCTGGGCCCCCCATACCCAGCGAGCAGTTGTGGGCGTTGCAGATGCGCTGCAGCAGCAGCGGCAGGAGGGGGCACGGCTCCTCCTGGCCCCCCAGCCCCGGCAGCAGCTCACGGTGCCGCTCGGAGGTGCCGCCGCCACAGCTGGCGCTGCAGGGGCTCCATGGGGACCAGGGGCTCAGCTGGCAGCCGGCTGTGGGGGGAGCATGGGCTTACCATCCCACCAACCCACCATCCCACCATCTCACCAACCCACCGTCCCACCAACCCACCATCCCACCATTTCACCATCCCACCATCTCACCATCCCACAGTCCCACCATGTCACTGTCCCACCATCTCACTGTCCCACCAACCCACCGTCCCACCATCTCACCATCCCACCAACCCACCATCTCACTGTCCCACCATCCCACCATCTCACTGTCCCACTATTCCAACGTCCCACCATCTCACCATCCCACCAACCCACCATCTCACTGTCCCACCATCCCACTGTCCCACCAACCCACCATCCCACTGTCCCACTAACCCACCATCCCACCATTCCACCGTCCCACCATCTCACCATCCCACTGTCCCACCGTCCCACTAATCCACCATTCTGCCATTCCACGACCCGGCCCACCATGGCAGCACTCACCAGGGCAGGGCTGCATGTTGCATTTGGCCATCTCCTCTGTGCCGGTGGCACCACAGGGCACCCCCCTGGTGCTCTCCTGGCAGCTGCGGTGCCGGGAGGTGTTGCCACCACCGCAGCTGCGGGAGCAGGGCTCCCACGGGGACCAGGGCCCGTAGGAGGGACACGCCGCAGCCGGGCAGGCGAAGGTCCCGTTCTGACAAGTGCTGCACCAGGAGCGGCAGCGGCATCAGCATCCCACCCAGGGGCTCTGCCACGCGGCACAGCAGTGCCCGTCCTGTCGCCACGTCCCCCGCCATGGCACCCACCAGTTGTGGCATTCCAGCTCGGCCACCTGCCCTGGCCAGAGCTCCCGGCTGCTATTGGCAGCGGGCAGCCCGCAGCGGCATTCGGCGATGGGCACGCATGCCCCGTCCTGCAGCAGCTTCCCTGGGGGGCACTGGCACCCTGCGGGGGCAGAGAAGAGCAGGCTTGCACCCACAGGTGCTGTGGGTGGTCCTGAGCCCCCAGTGGGCTGGAGAGGGCTCTGCTGCGAGGATGCACGGAGCAGGGTGTGGGTGCACCGGTGTGCCATGGTGCAGCTGGTGCCGTGGGGCAGGGGGATGTCACCGCTGTCATGGGTGGTGTGGCGCAGGGGGCTCTGCTATGGGGTGGGGGCCGTGCTATGGGGCAGGGGGCTGCAGGCAGCTCAGGGGGACGGGCAGGGGCAGGGGGGCACGTACCCGGCTTGCAGGGTCCCTGCAGACACTCGACGTGGGGCCAGAGGTCGGCACAGGCGCGGGGGCAGCCGTTGGCGCAGGACGCGGTGAAGGTTCGTCCACGCTCCTCGCACGCCTCCCCTGGGCGCGATGCCGGGCCTCAGGGTGCAGCGGGGGCACAGAGGTGCACGGGGGTCCCCGGGGTGCCAGGGCGGGGGGGGTTACCTGGGCAGACGGCAGTGTTGCAGCTCTCTGTCTGAGAGTGGGCGCTGTGGCAGTGCTGGCCAGCGGCCGGGTGCTGCGGCTGGCGCTGGCGCAGGCGGTAACCCCCGCTGCAGGGGTCCTGGCAGGGCCCCCAGGGACCCCAGGGGCTCCAGAGGCACAGGTCTGCAGGACACGACCGTCACCTGCCCCGCGGGGACACCTCTGGCACGGCACAGCATCCCCGGCACCCCACAGCCCCCCCCAGTACCTTGGCAGACTTGGGGGTCTGGGCAGAGCCTCTCCTGCCGTAGCTCGGCCGAGCAGGCGGCCCTGCTGCCAACCCAGGGCAGCCCGGTCTGGGGGTCCAGGCAGGTTCGGTAGCGATGCTGCACCGCAGCCAGGGACGAGACCCCCGCCGGTGTCCCCTCCGCCGGCTGCCACCGCCCCGGCTGGGCCAGCAGCTGGGCAAGGGTGCCGGGGCCGAGCGTGGGCAGGGGCAGGCAGGGGCCGCAGGGCGTCCACTCCGACCAGGGGCTCAGCGGCAGCAGCCCTGGGGGGACATGGACCTGCTGGGGACCCCC